AGTTAATATTTGGCTTTCCCTATCTGTCCAATAAATGTGTACAATGTAGTAACTGAGCTAACTAATGATAAACAGCCATGTCAGAAGGACATGGACATTCCAGCAGCATAGCTGTCATCAAGCATTCTCAAGTTAGCTACTCTCAAACAAGCATTCACCAAAATCATCGGGAGGGGGCATTCCAACACAGATTGCTGGGCTCCACCCTCAGATTTTCTTCCTTTTTTCCCCTTCTATTGAAAACAGACTAATTTCTAACAGAATATATCCTGATTACGGTTCCCCTCCCACTACTCCTTCCAGCTCCTCCCCACCTCCCCTCCCATCCGGATCTACTCCCTTTCTGTCTCTTGTTAGAAAAGAACAGGTTTCTAAGAGATAATAAAATAGAACAAAATAAAATATAATAAAACAAAAACTATCATGTCGAAGTTGGACAAGACAAACCAACTGAAGGAAAAAAGCCCAAAAGAAGGCACAGGAATCAGAGACCCAGCTATTCATGCACTCAGAAGTCCCACAGGACACTAACCTGAACGCCATCACACATACGCAGAGGGTCTGGTGTAGACCCATAAAGACCCTATCCACGCTGCTTCAGGCTCTGTGACTTCATAGGTGTTTTGTTCAGACTGATTTAGAGGGTCTTGTTTCCTTGGTGTCCCCCATCCCCTCTGGCTCCAACACTCTTTTAGCCTCCTCTTCCATGGGGTCCCTGAGCTCTAGGGGGGGAAGGATTTGAGGGTGACACACATTTAAATGTCATCCCACTTAAATGTGCCAGCTGAGTGTTCCAAGGAATCTATCTTCTATCTATCTATCTATCTATCTATCTATCTATCTATCTATCTATCTAGTGTGTGTGTGTGTGTGTGTGTGTGTGTGTAAAATGTATGGCTATGGGTCTCTGCATTTATTAATCCTTACATGACATATAACATTTTGTGTATATGACAGTGGTCTCATGAGATTGGAAGAAAGTTGAATTTTCCTATCACTGTTACCGTAGATATCATAATCTACTTATTCACATGTCAGTGAATCTCTTGCTGCCAAAGTACAATGCATTCAGTGGTGCACAGTACAGAATACTTGACAATAGTTCTGTTACTGCTTGTATATTTACCAAACATTATTTTAGTGTGTGCTTTTTCTTCAAGGTTTACTGTACAAAGGTATGTTCTGTTCCCTGGCAGCAGCCTCCTATGTCTTTGGTTTACTGTGTCTCAGGGCTGTATCAAGAGGCCTTCTGATGTGACTTGCTTGCACTCCCCACGTTTGTGTGCCCACGCCCCCACAGCAGCAGGACTATTCAACATTTCTCAGGATGTGTGACTGGGGTTCTGAGACGAGGCTTGTCAGTTTTCCTGTCTTTGTGAGCGTGTATGTGAGTGTATATGTGTATTGTGTTTCTGTCTGACTGTGTCTGGGTGTACATACATGTGTATGCAGGTGTCCACAGAGGCCTGAAAGGGAATCCCTAGAGCTGGAATTGCAGGTAGTTGGGAACGGAACTCAGTCCTCTGAAAGAATAGAAAGCACTCTTAACCACTGAGCCATCTCTCCAGCCTCTTAACTGCATTAAAAATATATATATATACAACTTTCTAGGTGATGCTATACTTTGCAACTAGCCATTTTAAGTAGAGGGTAGACATGTAAATGGCCCTGCAAATAATTTGTCATTAAGCCTTTACTCACTTATGAATCCCATAAGCAAAACCTAGACCATATTGACAATGTGTTCTGCTTTGCTTTCAAAGATCCTAAATAACCCCCAATTTACAAAAAATAAGTAAATAAAACCTTAGAAAGTAGTAACCTGCTCGTTTTGAAAATATCAAAGTTTTGGACTCCGAAGTTTGGACTCCCGCTGGCAGCAGGCACCATCCTGTTACATCTGGAAACATGCTTTTGCTATAGTCACTTTTGAAGCAGTGACACTCTTTGCACCCAGGGAAAACAGAAATAACAACACTGGGGTAGCCTTAGGCCAGCTCTTTTGAAAAGCACATTTAATTCCCTGTTACACAACTCAGAGGAGGTGGTGGGGGTGTCAGGAAGGCTCTTAAGTAATTTCAACCAGAAATGGACAAAGAGAAATATCCTGGTGTTGTGGGCAGCTTCAGAATATCTCTGAGGTAAAGGACTGACTCGAACGGAACAACTTGCCAGACATGGTCTGTTTGTTCCTATTGTCCTCAGACACTGAGACTGGACCAAAAACCTGGAAGAGAATGGGCACAGGCCCTCTGTGCCACATATTCAATGCCAGAGCAATTCTAGATGTTCACCCTCAGGATATAGACTGTCCCTCTGCCTCCAGTGAGAACAGCTACAGATACGTCCGTGTACTCACCAGCATTGCTGCCCAAGCACACAGGCCTAACTCCAGAAACAGACAAGATTCCTACTCAACTTTCACCATTTTAATATATTTTCTTCCTCCCCTGTTCGTTTCCTCACCTAAACTATCTTATCTAAAGAAAAACCCACTCTAGTCTCACGGTTCCCGCCTCAGTGGCTAAAGGGTGGATCTCTGACCATCTTCCCTGGTTCCTCTACTGCATTCCCACCACCTAAGCCAAGAGTCACCCCAAGGGCAAGAGAGGACTGTCACTGGCATGTTCCTGTAGTCATGGCCTGCTCTTCACACCAACATCTGGAACAGCTGCTCCTTGCTGATGGTCCTCCCTAGTATGCAGATGCAAATGTATGCAGAGTGAACAAGAATGAACGAATTGGACAAAAACCTACATCAGATGCACCCGCTAACAAAAGATGAAGGGAGTCTGAGAAGGAAGGAGACTCGCTGAGACAAGTTATAAGAATAGCATCCGCTCCCATGAAAGCCAAAGCATTCAGTCTCAGAAACTGGAAGACAAACGCTAGCAACAGCACCTCCCTCCCTCCTACACACACACGCACACACACCTCCCTCACACACAAACACACACATACACATGCACGAGCATATCCACATGTTTTCAGTGCTGGGAATCAAACCCAGGACATCCATAAGTGCTTGTTCTACCACTGGGCAGCATTCCATTCTCCTTACACACACAGAGTCTTGACCACATGCTCGATGCCATATTCAATCTCAGCATCTTAGGATGTTGATACTAAATCTGGAAATACAAATCAATTGGTAATGTTCTTGCCCAGCACTCGTGACATCCTGGGTTCTATTCCTAGCACTGTATAAACCATGCACATGCCTGTAATTGCAGCACCTGAGAGATGGAGGCAAAGAAGATCAGAAGTTCAAGTCATCCTTGGCTACGTAGCAAGTTCAAGGCCATCCGGTCCTACATGAGACCCTATCTTTCAAAAAAATTAAAATATATTGACACTTGAAATACTTTCCAAGTTACCTGGTCCAAAAGAAAACAACTCTGGGGGCAGGGGGGAGGAAGCGGCTTTCTAGAATTAACTTTCAAATGTTTTGACAGAGACCCCAAGGCCAGGACTCAGTTCTCTGGTCATCAAGATGCTCTTTTCTTCGGATGGTGGGCGTTGGTTTTTAATGTTAGATCTAAGTCAATGCCAACGGACCAAACCACTCTTGCTGGGACAACAGAAGAGCCAGTCTGCCCTCCTCAAGAAAGGTTCACTGTGTCCACATACCCATCCTCACATGCTTCCAGGAAGAGGGAAGCCCCTTACAGATGCAGCAACTGACTGGCAAGTTACTCAGAATGATGTCACATGGTCTGTGTGGGTTTTTTTTTTTTATGCTCTCCTTTGTCATCATACAAAATTACAAATATAATAACCCACATATGTTTATCTACATGTTCCTTTAGAGTTATTGGACCTCATCATAGCTTTGAGTGTCCCCCTAGGGAATAATATAAAATTGCACTTGTGGCCTCCCAGATTAAAGGCTGAGATAAAATGAGGTTGTGCAGCCCACAGGAGAACAGGCCACACATGCAGCTCTGACTGGCCTTTCAACCCCTCCCTGGCACTTTGCTCAACAGACTCATGGGGATGCCTCCTTCACAAGACACCGAAGAGGTAGATAAAACACACTCACCCCCATGGATGGGTGTAGCAAGCACACAGAGGCAAATGATGAGGTGTGTGGAGGTACCTGAAAAGATGAGCAGAAGGCCTGGAGAGTGGGAATGGACCTCCAGCTCTGACCACAGCGCTCTCCCGTGAAGGGAAAGCATCTGACCATGACAGAGATCCTCAGCTCATAGCAAAAGCCTGTGGCCATGCGAGTGTGGAAGCAGGAGGTAAGAGATGGTGTTGACACAACAATGACACTTGTACACAAATCTCCAGGGAAGGGCTACCAATGAGGCAATTCTGAATGACTGTGATTATGAACTTGGAGGTGCTGGCACAAACACCCCAGGCCATGCATGACCCCTGAGTGGCCTTGCCATCCTCACGATCAATAGGCCAGAGAGCCAGGTGGCAAGGACTTTCCTTGTGAGAGAACCACAGCAGGACTGAGGTGTTGGCAAAAGACACAGGCAACTCTTGAGGACTCTGTTCTCTCCTAACTCCATCGTCAGCCGGAGGGAGGGCGGCGAGCAGAGGCACAGACATTCAACTGAGCTTCAGCGCCAAGCACTTTCACCGTAGCTGTCGACAGTCAGGTCCAAGAACCAGCAACTTACAAAGTCAGTATAGAACCAAGACTTGACATCACTTCCTCTGAAATGGGGGGTGAGGGTGGGGGGACCTCAGCCCTGCCCTTCTCATCTGGGAGAATGGCCTGACAAGGGAAGCTGGCTTCTCAGAGGTAATGAGCACCTGCCGGGCATCATGAGTCCCCTCAAGCTAAGCAGGAAGAGTCCTTTGGGGAGGGATCCTGAGGACAAAGGCTGTGGAGCTCTGCCTGTGGGACACATCACAAGTCTTAAATTACACATTTCCCCACACTCAACACATACATATGTACACACACACAGAGATACATTCCCACATACTGACATTCTTCCAGCCCACCCCAACCCCCAAATCCCACCCACACGCCCACACACACACAAAAAAAATGTCCTCTGTAAACATAATGGCAGAGACTCCCACAGTTCTGGCATCATCCGACAATGGTCTAAGGATGACCTCTTCTCATTAAGTCCCCCGGTAGGTGATATTGGTGAAAGTGGAGGTGGCCTCTTTATACAGTGGGTTGTTTGCCTGCAGAGGGAAGAGAGGAGAATCCATGGTCAGCTCCATGCACTTCCTTACCCCAAACAGTTAAACGTCATCTGAGAATTTTTTCCAGGACATCCTTCTCTGGAGTGAACCGTCAAAACCAGCCAACGCTTACATTTACACATCTACTTAGGATGGGAATAGAAAGGGGAGGGGAGGAGAGGGATGGCGTGTTGCTGGTCTGCCACTGTTTAATTCAGTCCATCACTTTGCAAGGTGGAAGAATACTTGGCAGTCTCAGAATAGCGTACCGTTTCGCCCCATCTCTCCCATTTCCTCTTCTGTCCCTACCCTTTCTTTCCCTCCTTCAAGGCAGTGCCAGGCGATGGGAGCCAGAAGGGAAAATGTGGGGTCAGAACACAGAGTCCAGCTTTTGCTGAAATAATCCTTGCTTTTATCTCATCTCTCAAATCAGTTGCTACCACAGACCTGTTGTGTGCCTCCACCGGGTTTCCCAAATTACTTCCAAAAAGTAATTCCAAATGTATTACAAAAAGTAATGAATCCTCCATAACGGTAGTCAAGAGATTTAGAGCATTCCCTCTGTGTCAAGAAATTTAGAAAAGTCCCTCAGCGGCTCAAATGCTGTACACCAGCATTCTCACGTTGTGAGATCCCAATGGAGTCATATCTCAGATATCTTGCATATCAGTTATCTACATTATGGTACACAGCAGTAGCATAATTACTGTTATGAAGTAGCAGCAACATAGTTTTGTGGTTGGAGCACCATAACATGAGGAACTTATTAAAGTGTTACAGCATTAGGAAGGTTGAGAACCACTGAGCTACACAGTCCTAACAGAAACATCTCTATTTCTTGGGTCCAGTGGATACAAGTCCCGGGTCACCAGGAACAAAGTTTCAGCCTAACCCTGGACACTGGAGAGTTAGTTGGTCACTTGGTAGGTCCAGGAAAAATTAAATGAATAGAAGGAGAATAGACTAAAGTTAAATATACAGACTTCTCAAAAAAATGCTCATCCGATGTGCTGGCAAGCTGGCACAGTGGAGCTGGCACAGTGGGGAACGGCAGTTGGTGCCAAGCCTGATGCAGCTCAGTCAGATCCCCAGAACACACATGGGAGATGAGAACTGACTCCTGCAGGTTGACCCCTGACCTCCGAAAACAAATCATGGCCCAAACACACATGCAAGTTTTATTGTTTAGATGCACATTTGATTGGATTAAATCGGATTAAACAGCATTCTGGGGTCTCCAGAGGAGCCAAGTTTGAAAGCTACCACCTCTCATTTACAAGAAAGGAGAAAAATGCGGTAAACAGATGTAAGACCACGGCATCTAACAAGTTGACCCCGAAAGTAGTTCCTGTATTACCTCATCCCTTTGTCAGGCAAGCTACTTTACTTCTCTGCCCTCAGTTTCCCTAACTATAGAATGGGAACGATAATACTTGGTTGACACCTAACAGTGTGTAATATGTTCCTGATATAGATTTGTCCTGTCCCCTCAACTTAAGCTTCTCCCTTTGTCACAATGTCCTGTGTGTGCTCAGTGATCACGACATGTGGTCACTGTAAGGTAGAGGATCATGACACATACAGACAAAAGAACAGTCCAAACATTTCCCAGTCTGCAGAACAGAAGGATAACTGGAGAAAGACTCTCAAGGCCGACTGACCACTGAGCATCTTCCACCTCAACCTCGGGTTCTTGAGACAAAGACTCGGGAGAACGCGAAGTGCGGCATGGCTACTCACTGTGTCCCACTTGGCTCTGGCTCGTTCCTCCTCAAATTTAGCAAATTCCTTCCGGTCATGGATGGTGATGAGTAGCTTCCAGATGAGCAGAGTGGCAAGGCCGATGAGCAGAATGGCCCCCATCACTGACAGCAGGACCACCAGGATATCAGGACCCTTGGGACACTCTGGGAGGCAGAGACAGAGGGAGCAGGGGTCACCAAGGATGTCCAGGAATGAGATCTTAACAAACTGGAGATGGGACCAGCCAAATCAGTAAGTTCATCACTTTTTAAAAGGGACAATCTTTAGGACAGCAATCATCTGCCCTGGGTGGTCTAAGCCTGGGTTCTCGGACTGAACCTAACCCACTTGGTGTCAGTTCACCCAAGTGTACATTTTAAGATTCAGTGGAGGGATGCCTCCAAAGCTAAGAGTGCAGGTTGCTATTGCAGAGGGCCCAGATTAAGCCCAGCACCCACATGGTGGCTCAGACCCATCTATGGCTCCAGATCACCTGACACCCTCTCTGACCTCCACTGACACCCAGCCATGCATATGCTACACACCCATACAGGGAGGCAAGTGTCTCATACACAGAAATCTCAGAAACAAAATTTTTAAAATAAAAAAATTGATTTGGGGAGTAGCTTCGCTTGGTGGTAAACACCCTGCTACCTTCCATGAAGCCCTGGGCTATATCCCTAGCATTACAAACACAGACACTCAAACACACACCGACACCTGCTGATCCTGGAACTCACACTCCTGTAGAGCAGCCACTGGCTCATGGTGAGAGCGGCTAGCTCTTTTATATTCAGAACATCAGTTTTCTACTTACCAGAGTCCACTCCCTTGGTCTCCCCTAAACACAGGCCAAGTGTGACTTGTCCTTGGGTCTGTGCCACTGGGCATTCAAGATCCAAGACTGCCTCAGTTTGAATACTGGCTTTAATGCTTACACTGTTGATTTGACTTCTAATAACCTAACCTTTCTGGGTGTCTGCTTCCTGCTTCTCCATTTTTAAGATGGAACAAGTCTTCACAGTCAAAAGCTTGTGATGAGGAATGACTGAGCTAGGTAGATTTAAAGAGCTCAGAACAGTGCCTGGCACAAAGTTACCTCCTCGGTAAACAGCAGCTACCATTGTCATTGGTGGTATCTCAGACCTAGCCTTGTCATTTATTGTCCTGTCATCATGTGCACCTCTTGCCCTGGTTCAGATATTTACATCACTGAGAGCTGTAAACTCAACAGCCCTTCTCAGCATCCTTGGAGACCAGGAAGCCTGCCAGCCAAGATAATTTAGTAATCTAAAAGTCTTAACCCTATTGGAAGCTGACTTCTTTGTTCTACCCAGCCAATAACCAAAGCAGACAGAAGTTGTGATACTTATCCACAGGTTAGCTGGTTCTATTCTATAGAGCTCAGCTTCCCATAAACCTTGGGTGTCTAACAAATGAACTCCTGGCAGCCTCTAGTGTTACAAAACCAGGTGTTTGTATGTATGGGTGTTGATGAGTCTGGAGAGGAAGTCACACCCACTTTCCACTCGTCTCCCACCTTCTCTAAACAGACACCCTCGGCTCTCCCCATGCTACACAAAAACAACCGCTACCACAAACCACTCTGGCCATTTCCCAACCCACCAAATTACAACCTATCGGTAATTAAGAGGCTCCTGGAGGGAGCTTGTGAGGTTCCAGTGTCCAAATCACCAGGAGCAAAGGGCCCCAGTTCTTCTGGGAAAAACAACTGTGAATTCTTTGAAAGCTTGGGATAGGACTGACCCTCAAACCTCAAAGTGAAATTTTTACATAGTGGTCTGGGCAACACAGGTGGAATCCTAGAGGTAAACAGTCTGTCACCACCAGGAGCAGAGGCGGGAGACCAGAGACAGGTGCCTCTAGAGGTCCCTCATAACCAGTGGGTGATTCAAAGCCAGGCAAGCCTCCGGAGCGTGGGCAGGTAGTAAACAAAAGTATAGGAAGTCCAGATCCATCTGACTTCCGATAAACAAGTCACTATTTTCGTGTGTGTATACTAAATATTGCACAGAACACACTGTGTTATTTCTGGCAGCCCTAGCCAAGCATGAAGAGAGCCCAGCTCAGAGGCCCATTCCATGTGGCCGAATCCATTTGGAAATGTTCTTTCCTGCCCTGTGGTGACTCACCCCTCCAAAGAAAACATCTGCAAGGTCATGAAGTGGTGAAGAGAAAGAGAATAAACTCTTACTAAGCTTCAGGACCCCAGCTTCCTGTGCTGCTCCAAGCTAGAGTCCCTGGAAATCATGGGCATTGCGTAAAAGGAAAGGCAGAGCCAAGGGGTAGGAGATGTGGGCCCCTGGTGGAGGGTCTGACTGGGAACTACAGCAGGTGCATAAGGCCCCAGGTTCTACTTCCAGCACCACGAAGTCAAAGGGCACCTGTAGGTCACTAGACCTAGGGATCCCATTTCCCAGTGTGAAACAAATGGATGTACTGGCTGAGCACGTGAAGAGTGGCCATACACAGACCCTGGGTTGTTTGGCCATATCAGATGACTGTATGATCCCAATCTCCCAAGCCAAATGACTTGGGTTAGTGGGCCAACAGGAACACCGGCAGATTCTGTGGCAAAGAGGCAGAGGCAACAGCAAAGGTCTGACACCCTTCTGAAACACAAAGTGGGGAGAGCATGGGCTACGGCAGGGGTGAGTAGGAAGCCAAGGTAAAAACTGTGACATCTGTGTTCCTTCACAGACATCCACAGGCTCCCCTTTGCCCTTCCCACAACAGCTTTCTCTGGACTCTCTAAGCAAGGTGACGATGATACCCTTTTCTGTTCTCTAGCCCATATATAAATGTTGAGAGTCATGCTAGCTGTGAACCACCTGATCTCGGTACTGGGACAAGCCCAGGTCCCCTGTAAGAGCAGCAAACGCGCCTGACCACGTGAGCCATCTCTCCAGCCCCAAGGAGTAGCCTACTTGCTAGTACTTAATAATATATACCCCTTACCTCTTTGGCCTGTTTTGTTTGAAGGGGTTACAAGGAGAAATTCCCTCCTAACAGGGTTGTCCCTTTCTTCCTAAGCATAGGGATGGGGCTCAGGGCTCACCTACCAGGCTCTTCCACCACATAGAGGACGGCCCTTCCATTGGTGTCTTCATAGTACTGGAATCTGACGACACAGTCATCCTCGTTCTTGTAGGTACAATTCACCGCGTTCTTGCCAGTATCCGCTGACACCGGGAAGGGAGAATATGAAGAAGGAGAAACAAATCAAACCGCAGAAGGTAAGAGTTTTTCCCAAACCCAGCCCACAGGACATCTGGAAAGTGTATGACCGGAAACTGCCTGACATTCAGCAAGATGCCTAGGTTGGAGATCGTGCCCGGCCATTGGCACTGACTGGCTCTCAGTGATGAAGTTTCTCTCCCAAGGGCCCTTTTTGGTTTTTATGTCTTCCTCCAAGCAGGGTGTGCTGCTATCAGAGCATCGTACAGTCTGATTCAAAGCCTGTCTCTGCCACCAACCAGCGATAGCACCTACCTATCTTCCCTGACCATCTATGAAAGAAAGACGATGTCCCCACTATACATGAGATTTAAACAGCATACAATAGCTGCTGACACACTGCGGGTGTCCCCTTCCCCCTTTCCTTCATCTGCTCCCCCAATGCTCCTCAGATTGTCTGTGCAGCCCTTCCAGTCCTTTCACTTCTCTTTCTGACCTGGTGTGCCTCTCCATCCCCCATCTCTGACTCCCACCATGCCTCAGCCTTCCTCACTCTGAAACCTGCTGGTCATTACTGGTCACTGCTGGTCACTGCTGGTCACTGCAGGTTTGTTATTCCCCACTGGGTCTACCTCACCATATACTAATGGATGCAGTCAGGTAAAACCGACAAGGGCCATATTGGGAAATGAATGATAACCGTTGGGCAAGCAGAGAAGGGAAAGAGGGAGGTAGACACCTACTCTATGTTAGCAACTGTGTATTTCATGTCACTTAACTCTCCCTGTTAGGTGGGGCCAGTGTGTCTTTTTCATAGATGAAGAAAAGTATATTCAATGAGGTCAGAGAAACCCTCCCGCATCCCTTCCCTCCCCCTCCCCCCACTGCTGATCACAGCAAGCCTGGTCTCTTCTTCGAATTCAACCCCTAACCACCTACCTCCCTGCAGCTCACTTCTGCAACCAAAGGTCCAGAGATCTGATTCCCCTGTAACTCCCCCACCTGAAGCTGTCTTCCTGTGGCTCTCACACGAAGAGGCACCGGTGATTGCTATCTGTGCACAGATTGGCATCTCCCGGGCACCACTCAGTCCCTCTCAACTCAGACAACATATCAGATATACCATGAGCAGCAAAAATTGTCTTTAAAGCACAGCACAGAGTACAGGCCAGAATGACCATAAACAGGAAACTTGACTCCTGTTTATACTTCGGTGGGGGTAAGGAGTGGGGGAGGAGGGTTGTCCAGAAAGTCAAAAGAGCTACAGGAGAACAGTCATGATCACGTATCCATAAGGCTGAAGGTTTCCCTGAAAACCAACAAGCTATAAGCAAAAGCCTGGACATTATTTAACACTGTTTTTAGATTCTGTTTTTTTGTTTTGTTTTATTTTTTATGTATATGAGTATTTTTGTCTTCAGGTGTGTCTGTGCACTGTGTGTACAGTTCCCATACAGGCCACAAGAGAGCACTGGGTCCTCCAGAACTGGAGTTACAGATGGTTGCTAGCCACCACATGAATGCTGGGAACTGAACCCGTGTCCTCTGCAAGAGAAGCTAGTGCTCTAAACCATGTAGCCATCTCTCCAGCCCCTTAACACTTTTCTAAAATAGCTTTTTGAGAACTAGTCTTGCTCTGTACCTGGAGGCTAGCCTGGAATATTCATGCCTGTACCCAAGGAGGCATCAAAGTAAAGATCCAGCAGCTTCAGCCTCCTGGGTGACAGGGTGACAGGTGTGTGTCACCAGGCCCAGTGTTGCTTACTTGCCTCCTGAGCTAGGGATGGCAGCCACAGGTCTACACCTTGGTTTCTTCATCTATAAAACTGAGTCTGTTACCGTCCTCTCCTTTAAGAGTAAGAATTATCTGACTTGCACGTCCTTGCACGGGCTCTTGCTGAGCCGGGGGCTTCAGTTAGCAGGAGGTGTGAGCTGTGGAACACATTTGCAAGGACGAAGAGGACTCTCGGGAAGCCAGCCTTCGCCGTGTGCCCACCGCACATCAGACCTGCACGGCATTTCTTGAGGTGGCAACTGCTCTTCCCCTTAGAAAAGGAGCTGGTGGGTTTTGAGATGGGAATGGAACTGTGTACAGCCTGAGCTTATGAATGTGCAGCCTGGGCTTACGAAGCTCTTAGACTCACTCAGCTCTTTCACAGGCTCGATGTCATCACGGCAGTAGCGGTTGCAGGTGTTTTCTTCGTGCAGCGTGCCCCTGTTGAACTTCTTACACTCCACACACTCCCTAGAGGAGAGAGGACACAGCAACGAAAGTGAGGGAGGCCTATGTACGGCACATACCTAGAAGGCATCATGGAGCTCAGGAATGAAGAGGCCCCCCTCACCCACAGACAGGACCTGACCAGCCAACCCTGGATCTGAGACAGAGTCTCACTACAGAGCCTAACCTGGTCTTGAACTTAGGATCAAACAGGCTTCATTAACCTTCTTCAGAAATGGTGATGGTGACAATGATAATGGTGATAGTGATAGTGATGATGGTGATGACAAGGGTGATGGTGATAAGTGAAGGTGATACGGATGATAATGGTGAAGGTGATGGTGATGGTGATGGTGATGGTGATGGTGAAGGTGAAGGTGATGGTGATGGTGATGGTGATGGTGATGGTGAAGGTGATGGTGATGGTGATGGTGATGGTGAAGGTGATGGT